AAAAAAAAAAAAAAAAAAAGCCACTTGAAGAGTTATTACATCTAAATTTATTGTTTAATGAATCTCAATAGGGCTTGACTAGATGAATGATGAGATTTTATCCAGTACTTTGATTCTTGAGAATTAGAAGGGTCCGGAGTACACTGAAAGGGAAAATCCAGTGGAGGAGAGAGAGGAAAAAGAAACATCACTAGTAGACTGAGGACTTTGAGATACATCTGGTAGTCAATATGGTCCCCATTTCTAAGGCAGAGTTAGACCCTGAATACATCATAAAAAGCAAATATCTAAAATTTATATTAAACAGCAAGATCCCTGATGATATCATCAGATAAAACATATGAGGAAAAAGAAGCTTGGTTCTGCAAGGAAGACTCAGGACTTCCTGAGTATTTTTATGACAGGGGGAGGGTGAGTGGAGAGAGCTCTTTAATCTATTCTGCAAATACTAGCTCTATAGAATACTGATAGCTGTTACTTGGGGGGAATTGGGAAAATGCTGGGTAAACAAAATTAAACAAGGTTTTCCTTTTCTTTCTTTTTTTTTTTTTTTAAAAAAACAAAAACAAAAACGCAGGATCTTGCAGGGTTTTAAACTGTGACTCTATGAAGATAATTTGGTATGTAGCATGTTACAGTGAACCCCAAGTTTCTCTTCAAAGAATCAGTATGTCAGTATGTTCAGCTCTCTTGTTTTTTAATTTTATATTTTAAAGTTTAACTTCCTTGTGATTCCAGTAAACAACCTTTTCCACCAGTTCTAATCAGTAGTTCCCATCTGTTCGCTCGGCCCCGTGGCTCCACCCTGAGTCATCCCAGTCACCTGCTCCAGTCACCTTCTTTGACCTAGGTCACCCCTGGCTACCTGCTCTGACCTGCCAGTAACCATCCTTCCCCAATCACCCACCCTGCCACTCCAGCTGGACCCCTGCTATCTTTAAAATAGCCAATTGGGATTAGTCTAGCTTGTCTGGTCTAACCCTAGCCAACAGGGGAATGACACAGCAGTAGGGACGACCCCCGTCAGGCATAAGTACCCCTTCCCTCCTTGTGCAAGCTTGCAGCCACCAGTGCTCCATCCATGAGCCACACCATTCTATAGAAGTAAACTGCTTTGTTGAGAGGATTTATCTTCGAGTGCTATTTCCTTTGCGGCATCGAACTTTTACTTTTTTTTTTTTTTTTGAGATCGAGTTTCACTCTTGTTACCCAGGCTGGAGTGCAATGGCGCGATCTCGGCTCACTGCAACCTCCGCCTCCTGGGTTCAGGCAATTCTCCTGCCTCAAACTCCTGAGTAGCTGGGATTACAGGCACGCACCACCATGCCCAGCTAATGTTTTTGTATTTTTAGTAGAGACAGGGTTTCACCATGTTGACCAGGATGGTCTTGATCTCTTGACCTCGTGATCCACCCGCCTCGGCCTCCCAAAGTGCTGGGATTACAGGCATGAGCCCCTGCGCCCGGCCAAACTTTTACTTATAACATGCCTTTGTAAACTTAATTCCACTGACTATTTTTTTAAAAAAGCAGTTGTAGAATATATTTTGGAAAACGATGATTTGAGATTGCCAAAAATCCCGTGAGAGAATTCCAACCAAAAGATCATTAAACAAAATTTAAAAAAATAATTACTTAGAGACAGGATCCTGCTCTGTCACCTAGGCTGGAGTGCAGTGGCACAATCATAGTCTACTGCAGCCCTGAACTCCTGGGCTCAAGCAATCCTCCTGCCTCAGCCTTCTGAGGAGCTGGGACTACAGGCACACGCTGCCACATCCAATTAATTTTTAATTTTTTTGTAGAGACAGGGTATCACTATGTTGTCCAAGTTGGTCTTGAACTCCTGCTTCAAGGATCCTTCTGCCTCTGCCTCACCAAATGCTGGGATTACAGGCATGAGCCATGACACCCAGCCTAAAAGATAATTTTAAAATTTAGTTATGGATTTTTACTTGACTTATGGTTGTTTTCATATTCTAACAGGCAATTTTTCTAAAAATAATTTTAAATGATAGATAAAATATTTTAAAATCCTTAATATAAAGCAATGAATTGGCAAGACAGCAAAGAACACGCAGATCAAAATGTAAGTAGAAACTTGGAAAGATAAACAGAGCACTGAAGCTAAATTTTAACTTTGGAACTGTTGGTGAGCAAATTTTCATATTAGTTTTGAACTCAAGAGACTCAAGGGATAGGACACAAAGACTAGCACTTGCTGAAGGTAGGACGCCCATTAGGAGAATATAAACCAAAAATGAAATCCTGAGCCCCACAACTAGTTGAATAGACCGCTGGCCAAAGGGATCCCAGGGACACCTACAGAACTGAATTCCTGGACATAAGAGGAAGGGAGGTCAGACATGCCTCATTATGCCCCTCCCTTTTGGTGTTTAGGTAAAAATACAGATCTGAAAAAACAGACTCTTTGTAGCAATAACATAACAGATTATAAACACAAGGCCATGCAAGCCAGGGGTTAAGTCACACCCCACAAACCATAAAATCTCATTAAATGGGGTTTTATTTATTTTTTATTTTTATTTTTTGAGACCCGGTCTCACCCTGGAGGCTGGAGTGCTGGGGTGCAATGTGGGCTCACTGCAGCCATGACCTCCTTGGCTCAGGTGATCTCCCACCTCAGCCTCCTGAGTAGCTGAGAAGACAGGCATGAGCCATCACGCCAGGCTAATTTTTGTATTTTTGTAGAGATGGGGTTTCACCATGTTGGCCAAGCTGGTCTCAAACTCCTGAACTCAAGTGACTCTCCCACCCTTAGCCTCCCAAAGTGCTGGGATCATAGGCATAAAAACAGGTTTTTAAAATTATCCCAGCATAAAGCGGCTTCCTTTCCAACCTGACTCTGATACAGCATCACATGATAGATAGGAGACCCTGAAGGAAATCAGAATATTTTTCTTTGACATGTTTTGAAATGGCCCTGCAAAGTAATCTGTTGTGGGGGAAATTTGCATCTGTACAGAATCTCCATTAATGCAGCCAGGCCTTCCCTTTCTAGGACTTTCTCTCTCGCTGGGTTGGAGAGATTAGCTGGGAGTCTGACACTTTTATGGTCTCAAAAGAGACATTTACCACATATTCTCTCTGAGGGATAAGACCTCTGAGGCTTCATCTACATAATAAGTGCTTTGACCTCCACAAACCCCTTATCTTGACTCAAGCATTCCTTTCTACTGACATCAAGTCTTTCTACAAAACGTAACTCTTTCAATCAGTAGCCAATCAGAAAATATTTGAATTCACCTATGACCTGTAAGCCACCACCCCCCAAGATATCCCACCCCTTTAGGATGAATCAAGGTACACCTACCATGTATTGATTTATAATTTTACC